ATAAAGGTGTACATGAATCCAGTGAAACGACTTAAAGACTTTTGGATGGTGTACACCTCCCAAAACTCAGTCACATCAGGAGAGTAGTGAAGAAAACACACATTGGAATATATATTCATTGCCATGCCTGTTCTATTGACATATATACAATCCTCCAGAGGGAGTCCACGGCCTTGAGCCATGTGAGATGCACAGTGCTTTGAATTCTTCTTCCTACTCCCACATCATCCCACAGACCACGGGGAACACAGTTCAGGTAGGTAACAGGCCCCTGGGGCATCTCAGACACTGTAGCACCCTTTGGACCCAAATCCTCTGAATAACAAGATAACTCGTTCCTGAAAAGATCCAAACTGACGGCAATGAACAAGAGTCAAAATCTCTACCAAAGACTAATAATTATGTGGGAGGATAAATAAATGATGCAAAGAAACATTTCAAAAAGAAGAAAATTAGCCAGGTCCTGGTGGCTTACACCTGTAATCCTAGCTATGCAGGAGGCAGGGATCAGAAGGATCATGATTTGAAGCCAACTGCAGGCAAATAATTCTTGAAACCCTTATCTCAAAAAAAAAAAAAAAAAAAACCTTCACAAAAAGGGGCCAGTGGAAGTGGCTCAAGGTATGTAGGCTCTGTGTTCAAAATCCAGTACTGCAAATAAAAAAGAAAATTGTGTTTAAACAAGGAGAGCTGTTCGGTTTTGTGTGTGTGTGACTCATGCCTGTAATCCTAGCTACTTGGGAGGCTGGCAGGAAGGGCTGCAGCTGGAGGCCAGGCCCAGCATATAGTTTATTAGACTCCCATCTCCAAGATAACCAGAGAAAAATGGACTGGAAGCGTGGCTCAAGCGTACAGCACCTGTTTTGCAGGTGTGAGACCTGTCTCAAAAAAACACCGTCGCAGTGCACGCCGGGCCAGGAAGACTTCCAGAAGGTTCCCCCGCAGCTCGGCTGCGTGTCTGGCCTGTGCGCATGCGTGTGCGCCCTTCCGCCCCTCGAACGGAGGTCAGAAGTCGGAGCCCGGAAGTCTGAGCCGCTGAGGATAGTGCTGTTTTCTGAGCCCCGTCTGTGAGGACAGTGCGGTTTTTTGGATGGTGAGCGCAGCCGCTTTACGCGTATGGGAAGTGGGTGCTTTCTGAGGGGCCAGGGTAGCTGTGGCGGGGCAGGGGACGGCCCGAGGCTTGGGTTTCTCCGATGTCCCTGCTTGCATTGACGCCCACCTTCCTTTCCTCTTGCTTTCACAGGGCCCCTGGGTGGGGGGGTGGGGGTCGCTCCCCAGCACCGGGCTGGCCTTGAACCATGATCCTCCCTACCTCTGCCTACTGAGTAGCTGGGATTACAGGAGTGAGCCATCGGTGCCCAGCTAAAATGTGTTACCACCAAAGCAGAAGGCACTCTTGGTGTACCTGGTGCATGGAAAATGTACAACTCTCTTCTTTGTACCTAATAACTGAAGAGAACCTAACGCGTAATAGAATTTGCATAGGCTGTTGCTACAGATTTTATATTTGTCATCAAATATAAAATAGAAAAAAGGAAAAGAAAGCTGGGTGTGGTGGTGCTGAAGGGAGGACTCTGAATTTGAGGCTAGCCTGAGCTACAAAGAGACCATATCTCAAAAAACAAAAATCAAACAAACAAAAATTAAAGAAAAAGAAAGGTACAAAACATAATTCCGTTAGTCATTATTATTATATTAGGGAAAGTTAGAAATGCAGGAATGGAGGAAGCATATAAAAGCCCATGACAACACAGCCACCTTGCTATCTTTTGGATCACCCCTGTAGAGAAAATCACCATATGTCATGAAATATTTTTACTCTGTGATACTTACAGGCACATAACTAGGAGAACTGAATAACCGATCTTTGTCAATTAGCAGTGGCAGAGCCTGGGAATTATGCCCTGACACCTTCCTCAGCAAATGAGGCAGGTACTAGATAGATAACTTACATAGGAAGAAAACCAAACAACTGAAATATTGAGAAATGCAGGGGCAAGCCAGGATAGGAGGTACATGACAGGGGCTTTTGTTGCCTGAGTATTCACTTTACAATTGTAGAGAAATTGATGTTTAATAGCATTTATTACATGCTGTGAACAGAAGTTCTCAAATGAGAGCACTACCTGTTTAGGTAAGACAGGGCTGAGGTGGATGTTAAATATATATTACATGGGAGTAAGTTACATATAATCTACTAAGGTGGTGTAGTGTTGTTCTTTATCCATACTATTTTTAGGACTGGAGGTGTGGCTCAAGCAGTAGAGTGCCTGCTTTGCATGCACAAAGCCTGGAGTTCAAACCCCAGTCTCACCAAAAAACACAAACAAAAAAACCAAAAGAGCCATATTATTTTTAGCAAAGAATGAATGTTGTGGTTTGAGCTCACTGACTCCTGCTAGTTAGGCTCTATCACATGAGTCATAGCCATGTCCCCAGCCCTGTTTTGCTACATTCTTTTAAGGATAAGTTCTGGAGGTTTTGGCCAGAGCTGGCATTAGACTGTAATTTTCCCTATCTCTGCCCTAGATTATAGATGTGTACTACTTTGCCCAACCTTGTGATACAGTACTTTTTTTTTTGGTTTTGGGGTGGTGGTGGTGGCTGGGATTTGAAGTCACCTTGAGCCACTCCACTAGACCTTTCTTGTGAAGGATTTTTTGAGGTAGGGTCTCGTGAACTGTTTGCTGGGTGCTGGCTTTGAGCTGCAATCCTCCTGATCTCTGCCTTCTGAGTTGCTAGGAGTACAGGCGTGAGCCACCAGCACCCAGCTGACACTGTCTTTAAGATGGCCCTAATGGTCACTATATCTTAATACTGATACCCTTACATAGTCTCTTCCTACACTGATAACCAACATAGGAATTTTCAAGGCTGGGCCACAGATGACACTGTAGCTTCCTCCTTGCCCTGTTGTTTTATTTTGAGACTGGTTCTTGTAATATAAACTTGGGATCCTCCTGACTCAGCTTCTCAAGTGCTGGGATAATAGGTATGCACCATCATGCTTGAGTCTTTTCTTTCGATTGCTGATTCCGGGGGAAACCAAGCTGACATGTCATAGAAACATTAGGAGGAACTGAGGCCTCCAGTCAGTCATCAAAAAATTACGGCCTTGGACTGGGGGCATGGCTCAAGCGGACAAGTGCCTACCAGATGTGGTCTTGAGTTCAAACCCCAGTACTGTGTCTCCAAGAACAGGGTGTGGAAGTAACCCTGTGACTACACCACCCTCCCCAGTCAAGTTTCCAGATGACAGACCAGGCACACCCTGCACAACCGCTCTGCAGTCCTAACTCACAAAAACTGTGCCAGGTAAGAGTTGTTCAAAGTTGCTACTTTGGACAATCTGTTCAGTAGCAACATATCATTCACACAGATAATACCAGTTAATTCCTTAAACTACTGTTTGGAAACCAGAAAACATACTGCTCTCTCAAATACCTCCATGGCTTCACGTTGCTTGTAAAATAAAGCCTCATCTCATTATTATGTCCTACAAAACAATTCCAATGTGGCATCTGCCTGTCTTTTCCCCTCACATGGTTCTATTCTCTTCCTACTCAACTGCACAGGAGTCTTCTGACATCATCATCATTTGGCAGTACTAGAGTTTGAACTCAGGGCCTCACTCTTGCTAGGCAGGTAGCACTCTTACTTCTGCAGCCACTCCAACAGTCCTTTTTTTTGTGGTGGGATTTTCCTAGATAGGGACTTGCCTAGGGCTGGCTTCTTAATGCTGGAATAGCTAGGATTACAGGAGTGAGCCACAGGCATCGAGCCTGACATTCTTTTTTTAATGTATCCTTTTCCTTGACTTGCTGTTTCTGGTTAGGAATCTGCTCTTCCCCCTGTATATTCTTGGGGATATTTTTACTTTGCATACGTTGGCTCCTTTTAGTGACTCAATTCTTTCTCCTTCTCTTTTCATTTGTTTATATTTTTTTGAGGTTTGAACTCAGGGCCCCATACTTGTACTTGCTGGGCAAGGGCCCTCCCACCAGCCCTATTGCTTTACTTTAGTTATTTTCAGATAGTATCTCACAGTTTTGCCCTGGGCCAACCTTGGACCTCAGTCCTCCTATTTATACCTCTCACATAAATAGAATCACAAACGCATGTCACCATGGCCAGCTTCTTTGTTGAGATGAGAGTTATCAGTAACTTTTTAGCAGGGTTGACCTCCTAATTCTGTGCCTTCTGAGTAGCTGGGATTATAGGTATGAGTTACTATGCCTCAATAAGGTCTATCTATGTTGCCACGGCTGGCCACAAACAAATGGAGTTAAATGACCTGAGCATGCTGTACCACCCCTAGCCATACTCACTTCTCAGTTTCAGTGTTCTCTCCTAAGAGAAGTCTGCCCTGATAACCCATGCTTAATGGGAAAATCCTGAAAGGATTAGTGCTGAAAGAAAGAAAATAAGAAAACTACCAACAAAGCAATAGACATTGGAGTTAGTCTGCTGGTCTAGCTACCTGCATTCAAAGAAAGGAATGAAGAGCATAACATTTGAAAAGGAGCCTATAAAGGAGCCTATAAATTTATTACTGGAGAAAATGCCATTTCACAGGAGATTCACAAGGCAAATAAATTGCAAAAGAAACATTGATGGGAATGAAACCTTTTTTAAGTGTATGTGTTCCTAGAGCCCAGGAATATAACTTTAAAACAGGCCTGAGGGACAACTGCCAATGTCTATACTAGTATTGTTTTAAAATGAGAGCTGGTGGTATAGCTGAAGGGATGGATTGCCTGAGTGAAGGTAGAGGCCCTGAGTTCAAACCCCAGTAAAAAAAATAATTGACACCCTCCCACCCCAAAAAAAGTGTACATCTCCCACTGAAACTCAAAACCCAAAGCCTAGGCAAACACAGATAACTTCTCCTTGTTGCCTCCCTATGGGAGCAGCTATTTTGTGCTCCACATTTTTATGGAAAAAACACATTATTTAACATACAAGTCCATTTCAACCATCTGAAAGTATGAAGTACTTACCCACTTAGCAACTGGACACCCCTGAGAGCTTTTTCCTTCTTTTCCCGTGTACTGTACTTTTTCTATCCTTATTGCCTTTCCTTTCTGGCCATACCTGAGTACAAAGCACAGTGGAAAGCACTAAATTAATCACTATCTATATTTGAAACCCTCAGCTCTTAACATCCAAGTATGCTTAAGACAGAGACGATCAGGTGTTGAAAAAAAATGAAACGCTGCTCATAACATACTTTTGTTAACAATTTGCTTTTGTGTGGTAGATATTTTATTTTATCCAGTTCTGATGACTTATGTTAAAGTCCACTCTTTAAAAATAGCCTGGCTCCAAGACAAACAACAATAATGCAGGGTTAAGGTAGTGTTGGGGTGATGATTTAAACTATTTTCCCATTACACAATAGAAAGAAGGTAGTTCTGAATTGATCAGAGACAGTTAACCTTGCTCTGGGAGGGCCTCTTTGAATGCCCAGGAGCTCATGTAATAAGGGCCTCAGGATGACACCTGGGCACCATTTTTCCTGAGCCCTAAGAAACACCCTGAAGGTTGCCATTCATCTGTTTATTTCCAGAGATAATTGGTCTACATTGAGTCAGGTCCACAATAAAGAATGATTTGAACAGGGAAGCACATTTCCTCACCTATTCTCCATGATTTCCCTGACAGCAGCAACACTTGGTCCTGCCCCAAGGTGTGTATAATATGGGCCTTTGTCTTTTTGTGTACCTCGATCTGTGGAAGGAATAAGATTATTAGACCCAAAGCTTTACCATATTGCACAGGGGCAAGGAGGAGCTAGCTTTACTTTTTTTCTTTTAAATAATTCGAAACCTGGAATTGTGTTAAGATTTTGGTCAGTTTTGATAATTAAAGTCAAGGACAATATGTCCTGGAACTCAACTAGTTCATGTTGCCGTCTGCCTGCTCCTAACTAATTCTTTCTTCCTCCAAGAATCAGAGGAGAAAAAAAATATGTGAAAGAATGGGTCATATTTATTGTCACATCGCCTGCTTAAAAAAAATCTACAAAATGGAGCTGCAGATTTACCTAAGAGCAATAGATCTGATAACCTTGGCCTTAGAATCCTATTAAAATTGAGCCCGGCAAAATTGTCCTACACATTTAGACAATTAGTTTACAATGTAAATGTACAACAATGTTCCTTGTAACAATTATCTGTAGTATAAAAGAGAAACAACCTTAACATCTGTCAGTATGTTAAATTATAGGAAGAGTATGGAGTGAAACACAGTGACATTTACAAATATTTAAAGAGCTATAATCTCACTAGGTTAAAAGGGCAAGTTGCAAAAAGTGTTTTTTAAGACATATATCTGTAAAACTGGACACAAAACTAAAACCAGGAATATCCTTTGTCCATACAGAAGTTATTTCTTCAGAGAACTAGGACAATGCAAAATGCTTACAAATTTCTGTATGGTTTGTTGGTTTCTTTGTTGTTTTGGTGAGACGGGGTCTTGCTACATAGCCAGTGCTCCTGCCTCAGTCTCCCAAGTGCTGGGATTACAAGTGTGCAGCACCAAACCCAACTCTGTTTTGAATTTTTGTGAGTATGAATTCCATATGTCTTGGCCTCGTAAATCTTGGGCCACTATAATTCTTGGGAATTTCCACATTTTCTGCATTTCTTGCCATGTTATATCTACTCCAAAAAAGCCATGCATCATTTTAAGTGGATGTCAAATCCAATTGAAAATAGCCTCTTAGGTAAGATATACTGAAGAGATTTTTCACTTCTTATTGGTGATCTTGAACACTGGTTGTCACTCCTGGTGGTCAGTATGCGAAGACGATTTTGGTTGTGACACCCGCAGGTGTTTGTATGACAGCCAGTGGGTACAGGCCAGAGACGCTGTGAAACATCCCACAGTGCACAGGACCGTCTCTGAAAGGCCAATGGTGCTAACCTAGAGATGTCTAGATATGAAGGTCCTACTTGGGATGTGCTAGTTTTCTTTCTCTCAGTCTTTAAGTTCCTGTTCCTACATGAGGAACACGGCAACCTCACACAAACTGATTTAAGGACAACATGTAACTGACTGTGTGGAAAAGTCAGTTTTGGTTGCACTATAGGTGCTCAATTAACTTAATACCTGGCTGATTTACCTCCTACACTCTGTGACCAGTGACTTCCTATGAGGAACAGATCATCCTACTGGCACCATGCACATAGGAAAACGAGAGCAGTGCAGGAATGTCTGTATTTTTTTAATTGTAGCCTTTTTTCCATTTGCAAAGATTGTCATAAGAGTTATTTTCCCTTTTATATTTTATTTATTTATTTATTTTTGTAGTATGGGGGTTTGAACTCAGGGCCTCAGGGTTTCTAGGCAGGCACTCTACTGCTTGAGCCATTCAACCAGCCCTATAAGCAAATAGAGCATTGAGGTTACAAGCATGGCCTCTAGTTAAGACTACCTGTCTCCCAAAAGCAGTTCAGTCTCTGACTAACTGTGAACATCTCTGTGTCTCAGTTTCTTTGTCTGCAGGGATGTTGTAACTACAACAAGTCAAAGACATGGCTCAGTTCCAAACTTGTAGGAAGAGCTGCAGAATAGGAGTGATTATCACTGTACACTCTTCTCCTTGGTCAGTGAACCACTGATGATCCCAAGGACACTCCACTCAGCCCTTATCCTTTTGAGACACAAGGTAGTTTTTTGAACTGTGTGAGGGAGGAGGAACAAAGGAATCACTTTATTTAGAGTATCAGTTATACTCTGGATCATCAAGAACAAAAATCACTATACTTTGCTGTTTTCCTACTATGGTTAAAACAAAACAAAAAATCATAATGATATAGTTATCCTTCCAAACTATCCTTCAACTACCCATTCTGGAAAGTACTAAAGTGTACAAAGATGATATTTTTCTTGAGATAAGGTCAGGCTATGTAGTCCAAGCTGGTCCAAAATCAGTACTCTTCCTACCTCAGTCTCCCAAATGCTGGGATTACAGATGTGTGCTACTTATACCTGGCTTCTTCAAAGCAAATCTTGAATCTTTGTGATTTGTGCCATACTTTAAGTGGGACTATTTTAATAATTAAATACATAGAAAGGGTTCAATTGTATAATGGGTAAAATAAGAGGCTTTAAAAGCAACCCCAAAAAACTTTAATGATACACTCTATTTAATCTCCCTATTTTCTTTTTTGATATAGTTGTACTTTTTTTGTTATATTTGAGCTATGATGTGAACCTTGACCATAGATCAAATTACCCTTTCAATTTGTTTAGCAAATTTTTCTTAAGGAATGCCTGAGAATCTCTACCCCAGCAAGAACTTCTCAGAGCTTTTAACACACTGACAAAAACTGTTAGTTTCTGAACATTTTTCATTGCCTCTAAGGCACAAAACTTACATATACATTGGTTAGGAAAGAGTTCATGATTGACCTCACTAAACTTATTGTAGTTTTGTTACATATTAAATCAACACTTACAGAATAAATGTGCTCAAATACTTTAAAACTCAGAAGGAATAACAAATTCTTTAAATAATAATCAAGATTATTGAACTTCATTGTCTCTGGGTACACTTTTCCTATTGCAAAATATAAAAGGATGGGCTGGCAGAGTGGCTCAGGTGGTAGAGCGCCTGCCTAACAAAATGTGAAAGAACTAGAGAGGAACTGGGATATGGCTAAAGTGGCAGAGTGCACAAGGCTTCAAACTTTATCACCACCGAAAAAGAAAAAAAAAAAGACACTGAAAAAGAAATTGGTTCCCTTAACTGGGAAGGCATACAGATATTGTATTATATTTACATTCTCTCTTTGTAGTTCCGTCTTACCAAAAAAAAATTATGAATTTTTTTTTTTTCTTGGTGGTACTGAGGTTTGAACTTAGGGCTTTGCCCTTGCAAGGCAGGTGCTGTACCAATTGAGCCACACCTCCAATCCTATTTAATGAAATTAGTATAGGCTAAAATTCTGTTCAGCATAGGAATAAGATACAAACTATAATGAAGTATTAAGGTTTTCATTCTTATGCTATGACAATAAACAACTTCAGACAGTCTTCAGAGAAATTAGCATAATTCCCACTTGAAAAAGTTTACTTTTGTATTTTGAAATTAGAAGTTGAAATTTTCATTTTTCTGAACAGAATGGATAAAAGTCCAACAGAAAAATGGGTACAGAATTACTTAGTCTGTCTTAGTTAGAACAGAAATGGGGCAGAAATCCCACAAAAAATGAATTTGAACTTGCTTCCACCATGATGAAAGAACACATGCACACAAGCACTTACCAATACAGTCACAGGTTGGCACATCATAATTTGGCGTTGCAGTCACCAGGCTTTTAGCAGAGTCAGTAAAGTAGTTCATGGAGTAATCATTGAACCTTTCCTGTGCACTTTGTCCGGGGGAAACTTGGGCTGCTCCAACACTTGATGGACAGACGTCCTCTTCCCTTTTGGGAGAAACCACGGTAAGTCTACCTGAACTCACTATGTTCAGATTCCTGAGAATTGGTGTTGGGTCTGGTATAGGTAGCTCCTGAGAGACACCAGGCAAAGCTGGCAGTCTCTGAGGCGCGAGGTGCTCTTGACCATGATGTTGAAAATGTGTCTGCTCACTGCCAGCCATCACATTGGCACACTGGTTAGGTGGAGAGGAGGGCTGGGACAAAGGATGAGCATTCTCACTGACATTCACTATTGACTGTACCTGAGAATTACCAGCTGTATCTGTAAACACCTGTCCATTGGACTCTGTCTTCGTATGTAACATTGGGAAAGAAGTCAATGACTCAACCTTCTTCATTTTTTCCCGGACTAATTCAGGATATCGCTGGAACTTTATCTGACTGAGTGGAGGAAATAACTTTTTCTGTTGTAGGGATGTACTCCTTTGAGCCAATGGTTTCAATACTTGGGCAAAGGAAGGAATTTTTCCCAGCAGAAGAGGAAAATTGTGTGAACCAAATTGTCCAAATCTTTGAAATTTGGATGCTATCCAAATGTCATGTAAATTTCTGTACTCATTGGACAACTGTTTTTGCTTCTTCTGATCATTTTCTTGAGAGCCTGGGACTGTGGGCTTCTTTCTCCGGCGATCTCTTGATGGGGTAGATTTTGCCTTTTTCTGGGCTGGGTTCTTTTGCTTTGATAATGGCAAGCTATGATTGTTTTGTACACTTGAAGCCAGTTTCGGTTCTTTTATGCCTTTCTCTTGACTGTGTTTGTGCTGCACGTTACATGCACCAAGGCTTGTTGGTGTACTTTCAGCACTGTTTTCCTCTGGCTTTCCATGATTGCATTTAATGAGTGATGCAAGTTGTGTTAATTGTGTTGCAACGTCTTCCTCAATTTGACTATAGGATGCATCCTGACATGATGGATTATCCTTTGAATTCCAATTTTTACTGCCATCCAGTAACCGGGTGCAATGTCCCAATTCATTAATTCTTTGAGGCAATTGATGCAAATTCTTAGAACAGTTATCAAGGGTTCTTCTCTCTCCAACATTTTTATTGGTATCACTTGTAGCTGAATTTGATTTTGGTATTAAAACAGATAGGGAATTTTTGACATTTGCCTGTTCCTGTGGCTTTGCAGGTGCTTGGTTAGTAGCTGAGCTGACAAGTGGCAGGGAATTTTGGCCATTGAACAACACGGTATTGCATGAACTCTGCTTTTCCAAAGGTGGATGGCTATGAATGCTTTTTGTCTCTCCTTGAACATGTGGGGCTTGGAGGTCTTTTTTGACAGAATATAGGATAGCTTTACAACTATTAAGCAGACTAGCTGTTCTCTGATCTGTTTCTTCATCATTCTCTGACTTAGATGGTGAGGAATTCTCCGATGGGGCTTCAGAGAGTTGTGTAAGAGCCTCAATGGCTACTACTTGCTCCAGGGTTAATCTCCGATCTTTCATAAGGGATAAAAGACTTGGTTGAACTGGAGATCCATCTTTTGGTTCTTTACTGGGTATATTCTCAGGAGTGTTTGGATGACCACCTTCACTGTGTGAAATAGAATAACTATTTAAGTTTGCAGAATCTTCAACAGATTTACAATTAGAGTGAGGCCTCTGGAAGACTAAGACATCACTTCTTTCCTTGAGATTATCACAATTTGCACTAGAAGTGGTGGAGCTCATGGCATTGTTATGTTTTGCAGTATCTTTTAGGAATTTGTAGGAATGGTTTTCGAATGCCTTGCCAAATTCTTCAATTTTAAATTTGTTAAAAGACACCATTGTTTCAGTTGGTAAATAGTGTACATTGTTAATGCCGTTTCTTACTGGTTGTGCAAACTTTGAAGGTTGGGTTTGTTTATGGTCATCTCGAGAGGTTTCTGATTTCTCAGCTTCTGTTACATTTGCACTGAAGTCTCCTTTGACATGATCAGTTAAACGAGATTTCTTGTTTGGTGTCCACTTTTCCACCTCGATACCTGTCATGCTTTCTTCATTCTGAGTTACATTTTTAAGGGGAGCTGCATTCAAATCCAATCTTTGTTCTTCCCCATGACCACATCTGCCGTATTCCATGGATTCTGACTTGGGGCCATTTACTGGTTTCTTGTGACAATCAGCCTGTAAAATGAGTACAGAAATTACTATTATTAGCTTAATAATAATATATATAACAAATGTATAAATATAGCCATCGGAACTTTACAATTTAATAGCAACTAACTGTGAAGACTGTGTGAATACAACCTGAAAGATTCTTATCATTAAGTCAGGTTGTGGTGGTGCACATCTCTAATCCTAGCACTCAGAGGCTGAGGCAGGAAGATTGTAAGTGATGCCAGCATGGCAAGTCAAAGCCAGCCTGGAATGGTGGAGTGGCTGAAGTGGAAGAGTACCTGCCTAGCAAGCATGAGGCCCTGAGTACCCCAGTATCAAAACAAACAAACAAAAAAACAGCCTGGGCTTATATAGCAAGACCATGTCTCAATGTGTCTCAAACAAAACAAAACAAATAGACTTGAGACTGGGTCTCACTACATAGCTGAAGATGGCTTGGAACTCTTCATAGTCCAAGCTGACCCTTTAACTTGTAGTCTTCCAATCTTTGAGTCTTCCCCTCCCAAGTGTTAGGATTATAGGTGGGCATTACTACACCAGAATGCTACACCTCTTGAGCCATCCCCTGCCTACCAGTATAGCTCAGTTTGACCTCTAACTCACAATCACAGTGCTTCAGCTCCCCAAGGGTTGAAAATTATTTTGCTTTTGATGTTTTCCAGAAGTCATAAAATAGCAACAGGTTCAGTACTACGTATATATAAAAAAAGAAGAGAACAATCATAAGCCTATGTGTATTATTATTTTGGCAAAATCAATTTTAAGCTAACTTTATATGGGTGTCATTCAATGGGTAATATCTATCATTTAAATGCAAATTGTAAAGCCAGGCTCACGCCTGTAATCCTGCTACTCAGGAGGCAGAGATCAGGAGGATCAAGGTTTGAAGCCAGCCCAGGCAAATAGTTCTGGAGACCCTATCTTGAAAAAACCCCATCACAAAAAAGGGCTGGTGGAGTGGCTCAAGATGTAGGCCCTGAGTAAAAGCCCCAGTACCGCAAAAAAAATTATATTGATAGAAAACAGCACACAGAACCAGTGTATAAATAGTAAGTATATAGCTTATTCATTTTTCACAAAATGAACACCTGTGCACTCAGATCCCAAGCATGAAACTCTTTGGCCTCTCATCACTAATCCCACATGAGGTAACCATTAGCCTGATGACTAATGTCATAGATTTCTCACGCCAGTTTCAAGGTTCACATAACTAATTTCCTTTCACTAAAAATTATAGTTGTGTGATATCTGCCCGTTATTACATTTACTTGTATACCACTGATTCCCATTGACAGTATATTCAGTTTTTCTGCTGGAGATAGACATTAGGGTTGTTTTTAGTTTTTGGGTATTCTAAGTACATTGCTGTCGTTTCCTAGTGTTATTTTTCAGTAAACATGCACATACAACCCCCAGTGGTGAAGTTCTGGGTCATGTGTGTATTGGATGTATCTTTAGGTTTAATAGAAAGAACAGAGTATTTTGTAAAGTGGTTACCAATATAAAATCCCAAAAATAATAAATTAAAGATCCAATTGTTCCACATCCCCATCAACACTTGGTATATTCTGGAGTTTTGTTGTTTTGTTGGAACTGAGTATAGAACCAAGGGCTTCATGCATGCCAGGAAAGCATTCCACCTCTGAGCTACATTCCCAGCCTTACATTAGTGTTTTCTAACTTTTTACTTTTGCCATTGTAGTGAGTGGGAAGAATAATTCCTATATTTCTTTATTGAAATGAACTTCATAATAAATTCACACAACAAAATGCATCTCATTTTATTCTGTGTATACATTATCCAATTATACAACATTATCACCACCCCAAACAGATGCCATATTCCTAATAGGCAGATACTCCCTATTCCTTTCTCTATTCACTATTTAAAACCATATAAACAGCTTATCCAATATTACAGGAATTATGACAATGTGTTTCTATCCATGTCCGGAGCAAATGCAAGGACAGGCCCATTCTACAGCACATGTTTCAGAACAAGATGCTGTTTGGAAAAAAAAAAACAAAGAAAAGAAAGAAAAAGAAAAACAAGATGCAATAAAATGAGACGTACATACTATCTTTCAGGCGTTCTTCAAGTGGTAGAGCCCCTGCTCAGCAAGCGTGAGGCCCAGAGTTCAAACCCCAGTACTACCAAACCCCCCCCCCGCCCACAAAACCCACCTGAAGGTGTGACTCAAATGGTTACAGCACCTGCTTTCAGAGAGGGAAGTCCTGAGTTCAAACCACAGTCCCACCAAAAGAAAAAAAAGAAAATACTCTAGGCTAGAAATGCAGGTAATATATCTAACCTACCAAACATCATAGTTTAGCTCCATATGCCATAAACATGCTCAGGACAGTTAAGTTAGTTAAACAGAATCATCTAACAAAATAAATAAAAGTGCGTCCTCTAAACAACTGCTGTTTAACACAGCCTTGCAACATCTAATCAATGTCAAGAAGAGAGAAATAGACCAACATCAAAATTACAAATGACTAGGAATGTAACCTCAGTGGGTTCATCCCAAGCATGGAAGGAGGAAGGAGGGGAAGGGGAAGGAGAAAGGGAGGAAAGGAGGTGGGGAAGGAGAGGGGAGGGAATGTAAAAGGGGAGGGAAAGGGGATGTAGTACTTGCTTAGCATACAGAATTCTGAGTTCAATACCCAGTACCACCAAAAAACTTACGTGTGTATAGTTATGTACATACATACATACATACATACACACGTATGTATGTATGTATGTTTATAATATTTGAGCATTACCCACTTATATAAACATAGTGCTTTGGCTCAAGCAGCAGTGAAGTCTGAAGTCAAACGTTAGTACCACCAAAAAAAGAAAACAAAAAACAAAACCCAAAGGGAGTAACTAAAGTAGTAGCAGGAGGCCCTGGGTTCAATCCCCAGATGTATTAACTTCTAAAACTCCTAAGAAAACTATTGTGTTTTTTTCTTTTTTCTGGAGGCACTGGGGTTTGAACTCAGGGCTTCCTGTTTGCTAGGTAGGGGCTCTACCGCTTGGGCCACTCCTCCAGAACAATTCCTCCTTTTTTGATCAGGCTTTGTTCAGGTTTTTTTAATATCCATGAAAACAGGTATTTATTACATACAAATTTCTCTACATACATAATAGATTTCAAAACATTTTCAAAATAAATTTGACATTAAGGGCAAACTTTTCTGTGAAAAGGAAATGTTAGATAAGTTTTTGTTTTTTAAGTATTACAAAGCCATAACAGGGTCAAGGGTGTAGCTTAGTGGTAGCACTTGCCCGGCATCCGCCAGGCCCTAGGTTCATGATCCTGCCCCCAGCCCCCAAAAAACTCAGTGATTTTTATAACGCACTGAATGTTTATAAGGCTGTGCTAACTGGGAGGCTGACACTGGGAAGATGAAGGCTCAAAGGCCAGCCTGGGCAAATAGTTCAAGAGACCCCCATCTCCAAATAAACCAGAGCAAAATACACTGGAAGTGTGGCTCAAGCAGTAGAATGCTGGCTTTGCAAGTGCAAAAAGTTGAATTCAACCCCAGACCCAACAAAAAAGGAAAAAGAGAAAAAAAACCTGCTTGCATTTCTATAAAAACTGTCATTTTTAAATAATGATATCATGTCCAGGGTGTGATGGTACAAACCTATAATTCTAGCTACTCTAGGGGTAGAGATAGGAAGGACTGTGGTCCAGAACAGGCAGGAACTGCCTGGAGACCCTATTTCAAAATAACCAAAACAAAAAGGGCTGGGGGTGTCTTGGCTCAAATGGTAGTATGTCTAGCAAGCATGAGGCCCTGTGTGCAACTCCCGGTATCACTGAGAAAACAAAGTGACGCCAGAGGAAAGTTTAACTCCAATCTTACAGTGTCCCACAAAAATAATATAAGTACAAATGATATGTGTGAATTCTGGATAAGGCATTCATACTTTTCTCTAAGGGCAGACAAATTGTTTTGGACAAAACCATTTTTTTGTGGTACTGGAATTTGAACTCAAGTCTTCACCCTTGCTAGACATGTATCCTACCACTTAAGCCATACCCCACTTTATTGCTTTGTGTTGTTACTTTTCAGAAAGGGCCTCAAGTTTTTGCCTAGGGGCCAGCATCAAACTGCCATCCTACTACCTACACCTCTCCTATATCTAGAACAACAGGTGGGCCATTATGCCAGGCTTACTGATTGATTGATTGAGATGTGTCCTTGCTAACTTTTTGCTAGGGCTACTCTTAAATCTTGATCTTTCTGATCTCTGCCTCCTGTGTGGCTGTACAAAGCCCAAGGGTTATTGTTTTGTTTTGTTTTGGGGGGGCACTTTTTTGGGTGGCTTAGGGAAGAAAACCCCAGGACTTGTCATAAAGGTAAGCAATTTACCACCTGGCTATGTTAAGCATGTGTGTGTGTGCACATGCAGGCACATGCATGCGTGCGCAAGTACTTAGCTAGGATTACTATTTTTCAGGCACTTACTGTTTACAGAACAAGCAGATTTTGCTACAGACAGATTAAAATTCCTGTTCATGCCATGTCAAAAGTGAATGATGCAGCCAGGTATGGTGGAGCACATCTGTAATCCCAACACTTGGAAAGCTGAGGGGAATCACAAGTTCAAAACCAATGTGAGCTCAAAATCCTCCCTAAAAAGTGAGGCGGGGGCTGTGGGCGTAGAAAATAGTAGAGCATTTGCCTAGCAATTGCAAGGCCCTGAGTTCAAACCCCACAGCTGCAACAATAACAACAACAACAACAATAACAAAGGAAAATGATGCATGATGCTGGGTATGCTGGTTTGTGCCTATAACCCCAGCACTCAGAGGCTGGGCTAGGGGAACAGAAGTCCCGGGTTAAGTAGGAAGATTCTGTCTCCAAACTATCAAAATATTTTCCCAGGAGGCTGGGAGGATAGTCAGTGGTTGAGTGCTTGCTTAGAATGTATAAAGCCCTGAGATTGTAAAGTCTGATCACAATTACCTTGGTGAAAAATGAGAGTGCAACACCTAAGCGAG